TCCATGGACTAATAAGTAACGTATAAAACGAGGTGTAATCGCCACAGTTTATCACAACTCAATCATTCCATTGATTTCAAAACGTAACAAAGTTGTGACGTTCTTGGTTAAGTGACATACCAGTATAAGGCTACAGCTTACAGTGTATTCAAATGTAATGCTCGTAACTTGATTTGTGTTTTAGTATATTAGTATTTAAAGAGAGAATCAGAGATAGCGAGCAGGCCAAACAAAAAATTGTTTCAATTTTGGAATATTTCTGGCTCATGTCATTCCTTGTCATGTCTATTTTCTAAAAATCCCCAAAGTGCACACTTTATTTCAGGAAAACTCAAGATTTGTACAATGATGTATTATTTTTCTATAAGAATGGTAACCATTCTTATTAGATAGTTTTCGCAACTCCCGTATCACTGTGGAGGAACTCTTCAAACTAGTTACAGAAACGGATCCGTTTACGTAACAAAATGTCGCAGCTACGAAGGTACGATTTTACTTTTTCCATGATTACTCGAGATGTAGGTAGAATGCCCACGATATTTTGGGCATAAATGTGTGGCAGCATCATATATTTCAGAAAATCTAAACGTTTTCGATCAAATATTTCACGAGACGACATAATCATCAATATACTTCTCCACTTAAGTTACGAAAACGGAACGTTGAAAACGGTTAAACATCTGCACTTTTAACCGTTCCGTTTTCGTAACTTAAGTGGAAAAGTATATCGATGATTGTGTCGTCTCGTGAATTCTTCGTTCACAAATTATCCGATTTTCATAAACATATGATGCTGACGCAAGTTTGTACCCAAAAGGTCGTGACGAATTTGCCTACAACTCGTGAAATCTTGAAAAAAGTAAAATCGTACCTTCGTAGCTGCGACATTTTGTTACGTAAACGGATCCGTTTCTGCATGAAAGTATAGGGCAGTAGCTATACGCATAAACATAAGTTATGCTATAATTGAGTTGCGAAAACTCTATAATATTTGGGAGAATTTAAACATTTTTCATCCATTTTTGCACTTTTAATCCATGATAACTTCCGCAATTTACAACATATCGTTGAATCTTTTAGGAGATATTGTAATTGAGATTGTAAGGAATAGATTGGCATGTCAATCGTACATGTTGCTTGTAATTTTGTCATCTCCTATAGATCTGATTCTGCCTTTAAACCATTATTCATAATGATTGTTTATGTTACCACCTGGGCAGACATATTGTTATAGCCTCCACCTTTTTTGCACGGTGTGTTCGCCGTCTGGCGTCTGTTATGAATTCTTGCAACTTGCAATAACTTAAACAAGTTGTATTTACACTCCCCTCCAAAAGTTTGGCAACTGTTGCTCCCCATTGAATACATGTTGAAGCTTCTTTATGTTTGATGTTTTATTTACATAAGCTACAGTATACTGAAAAAATTAAAGGTAAAGAAAATGAAGTCAAGTTTCATCTGCCTCTCTATAATATGTATTATCATTACATACCAAGCAAAATCTTTATACACGTATATGTTTTGGTACTAGGTCTGTAGGTAGCTCTAAGATTAATTATTAATATACTCAAAATAATATCCATCCCAGTATCATCTCTACATGTTATTGTAAATGCTGTTTGAATAATGCAATGTTTGTTTTGATTCCAGGTACCAGCAGCCTTTACATGGGAAGTGTGACCGGCGACGCGTGACCGATAATCACTTAGGGCTGTTTCCAGGATCTTGTGGGTCTCTGGTACTCACAGGTCGTCACCTCTTAATTAACTAACGCAGTAGATGTTGTGTTCCTATGACTTTATTGATTTTATTTCCCGTTCCTTGCTCCTGATTCCATGTGCCTAAGTCCGAGTGGCAGCCTAATATTTTCTAAGTCCGAATTGTTGTTGAAATTTCCTAAGTCCAAAAGTAGCGAATATTTTCTAAGTCCATTTTGTTTCTGTTTCCTTTCGTAATTTTGTAAGCTTTTGATTGATTCCAATTTCCGAATGTTTTTACTGCAATTCGGCACTTGTTTATACACAGGTAGAGCTACATTGATCATTCTGTCAAAATATGGGTTGTAACAGAAGGCTTCCTGAAGATGCACTGCCTGAAGAGAGTTTTACTAAGATCTCAATGCTTAGTGAGCTTCAGCTTCACCTGACGCCTGAGATTATTATATTTGTGCCATGCTTATCAAATTTGAAAAGAGTAACCAGATATGACTTATTCCATGCAAATTTGAGGAAAGTAGCATGTGTTGGAGATTTTTCGATTTCATTTAATCTGAATTTATAACTAAACAATATGTACTGACGTCTCCAATTCTTAGATCACCTTGGAAAAATGTTATTTTCTGAATGATACAGTGCTTTGGTGTTACATTTATGATTGAAATGACAATAAATACACCACTAAAAGAAGCCGTTGAGTAGCTTTCTATTGATATATACATCGGAACATTACGCGATATCTACATCATTATTATATTAACTAGTTTTTGGTGGTTGAACGTCAAATACGCATTTGTTATAAATCAGAAATATAAATCACGTCTTTTTTATCTAAAATTAACCCACGAAATCCAGTCGACGGCACAAAACCGAGGTACAAATTTGTTTTGGCAGGTCATTTTTGAAGGAGTATATACCATTTTTAGATCTCGATCCGCTTTCTATGAATGTGAAATCAGAAATTGGAAAAATGGTGGCCATTTTGAATTGAGTGGCCATATTGAAAATCCCTTCTCGAGCAGATGTCCTAACCACATAAGGCAAAGCTTATAAAATTTGAATCAAATCTGTCAACCGGTATTTGAGTTATCGCCCAGACACACGAACGGACAGACGGACGGGTTCTCTATATTCAGCATTGATTTCGTTCGGTGGAATAATTAGGGAGTTTAAGCTTGCATATAAAATCGAAAGGCCAACCTATACGTATGACCAATCGCCCATACAAATGTATTGCTTAAATAAGTTACGTTCGCGATTAGGTTGTTAAAAACAGTGCAAGCTTAACTCCCTATTATTAAAACTTAGCTTGTATTCGCGAATACAACTAACGGCTGTCGGCTACAGGATTAACCTTCTATTTTATTGGCAATGGCTACTCTGTTTAGATAGCTTTATACTTGAAGCCAGGATATACAATTCAAGAGGATGATCAGCTCCCGGGGATCGGCTATATTTCATATTTCAACGTGTGTTAGTTTAAATGGTTAAATTTAAATGAGCTGGTCAATCTCCAATTTGTGTTTCTTCCTTGTTTTGTATCCGTTATAGTTTATCAATTAATTTTTATAGGTATACGCCGAATAAACATAAATACTGGATGATTAATTCGATGGAAATTAAAATGTCTAAAACAATGTTGGCCTTCTCAAATCTCAATGTGACATGTGCGTAACTGAACCAGTCGTCGAACAAAAAACTTGAAATTCCATATACGATAATCCGGGCCGATAATCCTCAGGCCTTGAACTTCAAATATCATGGTTTCAATAATGATTTTCGGTACTGTGCGTTGGTGTAATGCTTTTCGGTACAATGCGCGTCGGTACAATGGTTTTCGGTACAATGGTTTTCGGTACAATGCGCGTCGGTGTAATGCTTTTCGGTATAATGGTTTTCGGTATAATGGGGTTATCCCAAAATTTCATGCGAGATCTCAAGATGGCGGAGATCAATACAATCTCCGAGCCTTTCGTCCAGTGCAATCCGTACCTCCTGTGCCTTACCTCATGCAGTTCTTTAAATTCCCGCGAAATTTATCCTTCTAAATATTTTGACCTACTTCAAAAAATATATTTCTTTGCGTTTGCTACTGATTTTATTATATCTAATAAAATGTTTATTTCTAATGTAGTAAGAATTCATTCATCAGAAAAATATTAAGTAATTCGTAACAAACTGTTAAAAATGACTAAAGTGGGGGACAAAAATAAATCTCAACCCTCAAAAGTTGTCACAATGAGCTAAATTCTAAGTTTCATGTCTCAAACTCTCCAAAGTGGTAGAAAAATAATTCCCATCCACTTTAAGTAGCACAATAAATGAATCCAAAGCCTCATACCTGCAAATGATGGATAAATCCCTACCAAATCGGACTAATGTTTTCATGAATCGCCATGTTTGTGATCCAAGGAGGATTGACTCCCAGAATGCAACATCAAGTAACCTTATTTATTCGTGACGTATTTCAAAACGGCGGAATGGCATTTTGAAAGCTGACACGTGTCATGTTGCATTCTGGGAGCCAACCCACATTGCGGCGTAATCTGGCTCCAAAATCACCTCAACATTTGAAGAGTCGGCATTAACATGTGAATTCCACATCAAATTTTTAAGTTCTTATTTGTCATTATGGACACAAATTCCACTATATCTTGACTTACTATGACGGAGAAAATAGAGCACTGAATACACTGAGGTAAGAATTTATTACATATGCGACAACATGTAATTTCCATAGGTTTTGTAATTCTTTATGCCCCCCACTGTACTTAGAATTCGCAAGGTCGGTCAGAAATTGTTTATTAACACCGTTGCTATGCAGTTTGTTTTGAAGTGACGTCATCCCTATATTCGTAATTTTAATCGTCTAATAAACGAATACCACATGTCGATGTGATGTTTTGATCGATAAATTGAATTTCTTACATATTTCTCTATCTTGTTACTTGATAACAAGTTATGATATTGGTGAACTCGCCAGAAATTAACTTAATATTATTTGAAGCGTTTTCAGAAAATTTTGACACCGCCATCTTGAAAACGTGTAGTAATGTTGATCCCAGTGATTATCGATCTAACATTTTACAATTTGTTGCTCCGCGGAGATTTTTACCTAAAAACACATCAAATTCAACGTAGATTACCAATTTCGATGGTAAAATCATTTGTAAACGTTATAATTTATGTTGTATCAAAGTTTCGGCGTTGTTGATAAAGTATTACAGATCGTACTAATATCTGAAGCTGATCGTGCCCCGGGAATTTTAGAACTATTTTAACAACGTCAGAGAGGTAGTTTGAAACAAATATTTTTAAATTTTGTACAAAACGTCTCATAAAACATACATTCAGAGGATAAGCTGCTCTGGGGTAAAAACGTTTCTACTACTGTTTGAGTGTTCTAAGAGGTAAGATTTTTGGAAATTGCTGTGGAAATAAAGTTTTTTATTTATTTTTCCGTCCAACATTATTTTTTGGGGTCCATCCACAGATATTGGCCAGATCGTTTTGTAGTAGGATCTCATAGCACGGTGACCAAGAGTTAACAGTGCAAATCGGCCCGGTCGTGTTTTTTTAACTCTTTAGTCGTGTTTTGTAAGAACATGGGATGCGACATTCGATAGAATGGAGCAAAATGGTAAGAATATTCTATATTTTACAAACTTACATATCTTGACTTCTACCTAAGATGTTCTTCTTCATACCAACGAATCTATTTTGGGGATAAATTCATCATACTTCATATCAATCGCAATTATATACCTAAAGTGCCTGAAATATGTACTTAATTTGCATTTAGTGTTATTTAATCAAGTTTAAACAGACAATCCATTCAACAACGTGGAATAATATTCACTACTCTAAAGATCGTGTAAATATTTTAACTGTATTTATCTTAAAATTGCCATAAATGACCGTAAATGTAGAAAGTGGAGTTAACTATGGAGAAGGGACAATATAACGTCATGGACGTGTCTTATAATAAGCATGTTAACGTTTTGGAATTGTAAAGATAACGTTTTAGACGTGATAAAATTAACGACTTTGAATTGTCTTGTAATATTGTTCACATTGACCATGTTTTGTTGCTTAATAATTTGTCTGTGCTTCTGAAAATAATCGTATTAGTACTAAACACGGGAATTTACATTATGTGTCACCCATTTATTGTAATTTGTAGTCAAGATATGAATAAATAAAAAAGACAGATATATGATTTAACAAGATCAACAGATGTTGTAATTTAATTCGCTAGAAAACTATGTTACACTACAGTTCATAGATCACTCATAGAACGATAGCAGCATATGTAGCGTTTTTTACCTATTGCAATTTGAAAATTAAAATTGAAATTGTATTGCATTGTGTGAGGCGAATTAGGGAATAACATCGAATCAAATTGTTAAAAATCCTGAGGCAAACCTAATAGATATTGAGCATACAATTTTAATAACGGTGGAGTTATTCCTTACATTAGGTGATCATATATAATACATGTAGTGCATCACAAACTAAACATTTCCTCTCATTTTAAATAAATTTATTTACGTTCATGACAGGGAAAAGTGAGTTTAAGGCCAATAGGGACGTCTTAAAACGTATTTTAGGCAAATTCAAAAATAGCAACGAGCCATTTAATGAGCGACAGGGCAATTAAAAAATAATATGACTGGTCAAATTTTCAAAATGACGAGCGACGAGGCAAAGCTCGCTTGCATTAACCATGCGTGTCTGATTCTAACCATTTTGATTTAAGTATCAAATTCGGTAGTGATCCCATAGATCAATCTTGACATATTATGTCGTACATTTGATTATTGTTAATCATTTATAATTAAGATAGTGTCACTCAGACAACAACTTCTTCCACATTGTGATCATTTTTTGGGGAAATACATAATGTTAATTGTGCTGTTTCCCACTTCCAAATCGTTAAACCTCAATGTCTCTACACGTCTAGAACGTTTCACTAACAGGTCAAGGTAATTAACCACAATCTTTTCAACACGTCTAAAGAGTTTAATCTAAAAAATATAATTCGATCAATTGCTACTTATTTAAGCCCTTCTAACTTTTGATTTTCGCACATATTGTGAATGCTTTCCTTATGAATCGATGTATTCATTGAATACAAGTCAGGCAAGTGATTTTCAGGCAAAAATATGTATAACACTGACAGAATTGCTCATTTCCCGATATAACAAGACTATAGCATACGATTCGTGCAAATAACACGTTTACGAATACCTGAAGTTAAGATATAAAGTATGGAAAGCAATATAAATTACTTACTTTTACATAAAGTCAAGTGACAGCAATTTCATGACCAAATTTATCAACCTACCTCTCAAATTTTCAACAAAACACGACTAAAGAGTTTAAAAAAACACAACCGGGCCGATTTGCACTGTTAACTCTTGGTCACCGTGCATAGGCTCAAAGAATAATTCACAAGATACGACACTAAATTGGAAAATTTCAAAAAAATATTACCACCTTTCAAAAATGTTCCTTATACAAAATGGTACCTGCTTCCCCATGACAGATTTTGCACTTATTTTATAGCTGAGATCTTCATCTTTCTAGTTCTACTTGTTTGGTTCGAGTAAATAACCTATGGATGCAGTTATTTGACTTTTAATACGGCGAATATTTTTCACGAGATCCGGGCTCTTGTGTGTCCAAATATCATTGTACTGATGACGTCACATTTCTGGAACCACGGGAGCACCATTCAGATTTGGACAGACAAGAGTCCGGCGATAAAATATCACTGTTTTGGCCTCTTATCAACGCAGCATTGCCTGAATAACGGTCATTGGTGATAAGAAAGTTAAAGAATAACAAGATGCTTCGAATGAGGTATGATTTGTCTCATATTTTTCAGAAATGGCTCCATAATCCTCATTTTAAAATTTGAAATTTTCTGAGGTGTCTCATCTTAAGGAATATTTATTGAGCTACTGATCCTACTATACTAACAAAAGAATCTGGCCGGGATCTATGGGTCCATCTAGGCTAAATGTAAGGGCGGCGTTAAATAAAACGTAGAATACCATGACTGGTCCAAAGTGTAATATTTCCTGGGAAAAAAGCTATTTATATAAACTGAAGAAGGTCCCAAGAAGAAATCGATCTTTGAGGAAAAACCAAAACAACCTCATATTAGGATATGTGTAGAGTCCATTTTCATTTTTGAGACCCTATCTGTTGCAAGACTTACGCCTGGCGTAACCGTCACCATGTTATTCAGTGTTTTTAAGTAGCGCAAGGATCCTGCCATGACCGTGGTAGTGTTATCGTGAAAGCCTGGTATAACCGCGACAATGCTGTGTTATATTGCAATGCCTGCCATGACCGTGACAATGTAATCGTGTAAGCCTTGCACGACCATAGCCGCTTTATATGACATTTATGACTTATTTCATGTTTCTTCCGTTGCTGTTATTAGGGGTTTGTGTAAAAAACCAGGTGACCGGATAATCGGGTACCCGGTCGATCGGGCACCTAACGTTCCTAGCAGGGTTACCAACTTTCAAAGTTCCACATTTTCCCCGAAATATAGTAGCGAATTGACTTGACAGACTTAGCCTACCTAGTGCACTGCTGTTCGATATTTTTACCCTATACGAGACAGAGCACTTTTTAAAATAATCGATCCAGCTAACAGTGACGTCCATGTCACGTCGCTCATAAGTAGCAACTAGCATATAAGTTCTAGAAGACGTTGCACATTTTTGTTCATTATACATCGAGGCAACGTAAACATGAGACATCTATTGATGGTTTAAAAAGAATGTTATTGTAACGTGTCCATAAAGTTTGTTAGTGTGGAAAACATAACAAACAGGAGCGTTTGATTTTTTACTACATTGACCTAGGGCTGCCATCATTAGTCGGAACGTCGACTTGTCAGTCAAAATGCAAGTTCGACAACGAAGTCGACAAAAATTCCCGTCATGTCGACAGCAAACGATATCAATACTTACTTGAAAATATCCAAATGGCCCCAATACATTTCAATACACATTTCAACGTGTTATGTGCGCGTATTCTGCGGAAATATTGTTCACATTCATTTCATTTTCAAAAAATAAATTCACCCGGAAGTTCCCTTCATGACTTCTCTTCTCTCTTGCGAGACGTTGTACGAGATTTCGCCCGAGCAGTCGAAATAAATCCCGGTCGAAACATTGCAGGTATTTGTCCCATTTTCGTCTATAATATTCTATTAACTTGGCATTTAGTAACAATATTAGGCAATTACTTCCCGATGATTTTTTCTCCCTGGAAAGTTCGATTGTCGACAATATTTTCGACAGCAGAGTTCGACTGTCGACACTGACATTTGAGTTCGATGGCAGCCCTACATTGACCCATATGTGACGTAACTCAAAGGTTAAAATTCAACATTGTCAAAACAGGCTTTTAATATCAAAATATTTGTTGGTGGAAAAAAACATGACAAAAACTTTGTGTTCTCACTAAGTCGGATCATTTCTGACGTATTGTTAACGTTAAAATTTAACGCTGTCGAAACGTTTTTTCGATTTGAAATAACATCAAAACGTGACGTCAATAATGACATTCATGGACCGTATTGATCTGACGTTATTTAAATATCCAGCAAAACGTCGATGGATGGTTGAATTTCAACATTGTGGAAATGGCTTCAAAATATTTGTGAGTTAAGGAAATGTTACAAAGATGTCAATATGTTCTCACTAAATCGGTTCATTACCGACGTTATTTTAACATTAAAAGTTAACGTTGTCAAAATGTTCTTACGATGTGAAATAACCTCAAAACGTGACGTCGAAAAGATGTATGTATGTCCAGATCCAACGTTATGAATAAAAAAAATTCATAACCCTGCTAGGAACGTTAAGTACCCGGTTACCCGGTCACCCGGTTTTTTACACAAACCCTGTTATTAGTATTTTTATGGATTAACCTTATTAATTGATCATTATAGAAAGTATGTGCTTTCAAATCGAACCTTCTTGAATGAGAGTAGAGATATAGTTTGTTCGAAAATTATTTATGATTTTAAAATGAGGGTTTCGTTGTGAAATTAATACACATTTTTATGTATCAATGAACATGAGTACCATGTACATGTATAGTAGTCTTGATTTACATATTTAAGGTAGTTAAACACGAGGAAAAATGTCATTACTGTGTTCTCATGCTACTTTAAATGTTATTTAATACAACCACGGTCATGAGAGGCATTGCAACTATTGTCCATTTCAGGCTTTGACCTTACCACAGTCATGACAGGCTTTAACATTGTCATGGTCATAACAGGATTTGCAATCATTATGACAGTCATATCAGGCTTTAACATTACCATGGTCATGACAGGCCTTGCAACCATTGTCACGGTCATATCAGGCCTTTTTCGCAAAAATCATAAATTTTTCATTCTAAACCAAAGCAATTACTATTATTGTTTGAAATTTTGGTAGTATATTTGCAACATCTATCTATTTCACATATATTCAGTGTTTTTCATCCTGACCCCCAGGGGCCGTATATGGGGGGTCAGGAAATCAGAAATTTTCGCTTATTTTTAGATCTTTCTGAAGTATAGCTTTATTATACTCAAATTAAAGGCAATTAAGAGTAGATTGCAAATATTGTATCTTTTTTCTGATTCGAGCCTCGTAAAATTCAAAATGGCCGTCTAATGTACGATTTCGCAATCATTTTTCGATCCCTTCACCGTATGGCTATATTATACTCAAATTGAAGGAATTTTGGAGTAGATCACAATTATGGTATTATTTTTCAGATTTGTACCTCAGAAAATTCAAAATGGCTGCTTTGCAGGAATTCGCAATTCTAAAATCTAAATTTTTCAATTTTAGCCAAAGTAATGAGTATAATTGATTGGAATTCGGTAATTGATATTTTGTTCGTTGGGATTTGCTACTCCGCGGAGTTGCCGTTATCTAGTTGTTTATGTTTAGTATTGACACTATTTTATAATTCAAACATGAAATAAGAGAGGGTCCTAAGTGTGGAAGATACACAATATGAAAGTATAGCAAAAATTTTAGTTTCAAAAGGGAGGCCATATTGAAATTGCCATTATAGTCAAGAATCCATTCTGCCTTGAATGTATTGCTTAAAGGAATATTCCTTGCCAAACCATCTCTCTCCTCATATGGTAGCTATAACCATATATATGCTAGCCATGTTTAGCAAAACACGCAAAAATGTTTTGATATGGTCAAATTTGATCACTTAGAAATGTGATGCTCAATTCCAGTAAGCTGCCATCTTTTAAAATTTCACACAGGAAGTGATGTCATCGACTCTCAACTTTGCATATAGCATTAGGTGAGGAGTTATTAAGAATTACAAAACCAGCTAAATATTCTTTTTCAACTTTGTATCTTATTTAATCCTTCTGAAAATCTCTTCTTTTATTCTAAGTTGACAAGCCCTGAAAATATTTTTGCACAGAAAGTAATGCAGGCCTGTCAACTTGGTAACACCTAACATGAGTGACTTGGAAATGTTGAACACCTCCCCTCAAAATGTGGACACCTTGGTCCAATTCTGAACACCTTGGTACGAGAAATTTCGAACAGAATGCGTGACATATAGGTGATTCGCGTGAAAAGTCCGAACGGAATGCGTACATTTTTTTTCGGCATTCGTATTTTTGCTGTATCACGAACTTTTTTAGAAATTTTTTTACAAAATACTTTTTGCTTGACAATTACGAAGTAAAATGCGTATTTGCGTGACATTTTTTGTCACGCAAAAAAAACTGGCGTGACTTCAAATTCTTCAGCAAATGCGTGACAAATACGCAAATTGCGGGACAGTTGACAGGCCTGGTAATGATCACTTGTCTAGAAGTGATTTTGTGTTTCTTTCCTTTACTGTTATGGGCAAGATTATAGAAGTTGAGAGTTGATGACATCACTTCCTGAAATCTTAAAAGATGGCAGCTCACTGGAAATAAGCACTAGATTTTTAAATGATCAATATTGACCATATTAAAACATTTTCCCATGTTTTACTAAATATGGAAACTATATATATGATTATAGCTACCATATCACGAGAGAAAGGGTCTGGCAAGGAATATTCCTTTGCTTAAGGTAGGTGCAACATAGAACCTTCTACAAAAATAGAAAATCTTATTTGGAAAGATATTCTTGACTGAACCTTCCAACAAACTCTGTCATTTACAATAACTATTGTGTCAATGTATCACGTCACAGAGACATCCAACCCAGGTTCCCATAGATAATTCTGAGCACCATGTTCAAACCTCTAAACAGATTTGTATTCAATTTTCAATGATAACAAGATCAAAGAAAACGTGTCATTTGCAATAAAGCAATTAAATCACAGGTAAATAATGTTTTTCAGAAATCTGTTCATGGGGTATACTATTAGAACATGTGATATATGTAAGAAATGAGCCTGATAATCGAAAAAATATGTTTCGGCTAGTCATTAGTCCAAATGAATATTGCTTGTTAAGTGAAATAAACTAAGACTATTATCTCATCTATCATTGTTTCAATTTCTTTGACAATGAAAACATAATGCAATGGAAAGTCGCAACTAGATTCAGCTTGAATTTAGGTTTTGCATTTTCAACTGTTGCTCTTTGTATTCTACCTTATCTTTAATGATGTTTTGACAAAGTATCTAGGTTGAATACCTAGGTTAAAGCTACAGTATATACAATAAGGGTGATCATGGTACTATTGTTCAGAACAGATTTAACAAGGTTCATTTTATCAAATGATAGATTATTTTTAGGGGTTATTTATGATTTGTGTTTTCAGTGTTGCCCTTTGTGTCCCACCTTAATGATATATTAATATACCCTCTAGGTTGAATGCCTACTGTTAAACAACTGAGGTGATCATGGTACTATTGTTGAGAACACATTTATTAAGGTTCATTTTTTCAAAAGATATATTAAGTTTTCGTTTTTTTTATGATATGTGTTTTCAATATGTTGCTCTTTGTGTTCTACCTTAACGATGTTCTGGTATATCGATTGAGGAATGGTCAACATAGTTAAAATGATCATGAATGAAGACTAACATACCTTTAAAATGATATTTAGAATGATTTGCGTAGTCAAACTTAAATGCACTGAATGACCTTAGTTTTAATCCAAATGACCTAATTTCAGTTTTGATGTGTTCATAATTGATAAAAGTAACTATTTTCATATTATTTTCAATGAAACCTTTGGGGGCACCTTCAGGTACATTAGGTAACGGATCCTTTGATCTTTTGTAAATATACACAATGAATGGTTATTTGCTGAATCTTCGCCCGTTCTAAAGCGTATTTAACAAATACATATTTCATTGCATTTATTTATTTTCAAACATCTGGTGAAACATACAGATAAGGCGGATGACACCCTAATGGGCATATTATCCGCACAGAGAAGATGAACATGACAAGCAGTGTTGTGTAAATTATGTATCTCCAGCCTCGCACTCCCCACCCCCATCCCCAACCCGTCAGCGTGGTCTTAACAATATGGAAAGTAAACTGGGTTGCCAGTTACAGTCTCTGAGCACTATATTCGAATAAGGTTAAGTGCTTTGAAAAATGATAGGCGATGATATATGTTGGCTTTGCCAATTAGATGATGGAATAAAAACAATGAGCAGAAAAAGAAAGAACGATAACAATAGCTACTAGGTAGACAGCATAAGTGAATAGCTAATTGGAGATTGTTATCATTGATAGATCAAAAATGACTTGATCTTTTTCTTGAAAAGAGGTATAGAGTTGCACTTAGTAACTTCATCAGGTAATTAATTCCATAAATCTGGTCCCTGCTTACTGATGGAATATATATATATTCTCATAAAAATAATCCATAATCGCAGATGGCAGGGAAAATAATAACTAAAAGAAATGTGAAAAAACACCCCTTTTCACCAAGGGTCGATTAAGTGGGCCGATTTACTCAGAAAAAATCCGAATAGTGCTCGTAAAATGTTTATCATAATTAGAAAGTTAAAACCATTTCTGAGAGAATGCTGTTTTTATTTCACGTGAAATCGTATTTGTTTTCATCAAATTAATTTTTTTAGAACCCATGACCCATGTCATAGTTTTTGCTTCAAAGCAGTCGATTTGCATCACCGTACAAAAAACTGTACTCTGCTATTTTTTGACGTCGATGGTTAAGCGTGCAGAAGTTCAAATTGGAGATTTGACTTTTCAGTGACCTTCATCAGGCATAGATTGCCCTTACTCCCAAATAAGGAAATATATCTACTCCCTGTTGGAGAGCTGTACCAAATATTTTTATACTCTTGCGAGTCTGTCTCCATTTCACATTCTAGTGTATATACATGTAGTCTAATTATATATGCTTTTTATATTCTTTGATTCAGATGTCACATCTGGCAGCACATGAATTATCGCTAGCTATCTCTGGTCGTCCTTCTGGGATCCAGATAGCTTGTAATGGGATCTACCTGGCTGTTCCTAGAGGGCGCTCTACGATTGGCATCTGGAGTCTCAAGAGCATTGTCTCAAAGGTATGACACTATGACAAGTCAATTTGTTTAAATCACCATTGATCACCTAATCAAAGAGGCACTATCTGATAAGAGCAAAATTAGAGTACCTCAGTGATATTTTTTGCATTATGATATCTATTTTCCCATAACCACATTTACAGTGTCAATTTCATGATTGTAGGTAGAAATGAATAATTATAACGTTTGGAAATAAGAAAAATAATTAAAAAACCATTCTGAATCTGATTGGCTGATCCCATTATCCACAAGTAGTGTGCAATATTGACATGATGTTTAGTTTCAACATTTTTTCAAATTTTTGCCAATATACTGTTAAATTTCATGATCTCCATCACGGCACACAGATGTTTCTAAATCTTCGGGAATTAAGTGATGTGATTTTAAGTGAATGTATACTACACACAATATATTCAATTAAAATGACGTCACTGCCAAGGAATACATTTGACACATGTTTTCTAAGCAGTGATACAGTAATTGGTGTATGAAAAAAAGTCATTACGGGCAAAAAGGAGCATGATCCTCGTATGGGCTTGTATACAGCTCCTTTTCGAGGCCCATAGTAGTTTTTGAGGCCCGTACAAACATGCACGAGGCTCGTAATTTCAAGGCCTGTATGAGGTCATACGAGGCCTGTAATCGGACTCTTACAGCACAAAAAAAAATTAATGTCATGCTAGAGCATTCACATATCTATCTGTTACCACATACTATGTTTGTTTAATCATTTCGAACATTTTTCAAACATTCAACATCACATTTCAACTTATTCAAATATTGCACGCAAATGTTTTTATATGCATTTACTTCACATGTAGAGAAATATGATGTCTCCCATTGGTAATCCTGTTTTTTTTGTTTCCTAGCTTTTATACTGTTTATCATGTTGAAACGAAGACATGCAAATATTTTGAAATTATTGAAGACATATGAATTCATTATTGGATATAATTGAAATGTAATTTCTCAAGTATGCTGTATTTTATATCATCGTTCAAAAAGTGTTCATCAAAATAAATGAGCAATTACGACCCTCGTTATGAGCCCCATACGGGCAAGTACAGTGCTTGAAAACTAAGAGCCATTACTGGCCTCGCTACGGGCATTGTACAGGCAAGAACAAGGCTCGAAAATTACGAGCTATTACGGGTCTCATCGTAACAGGCACCATATGAGCAAGTACGGGGATCAAAAATTAGGATTTATTACGGGGCTTGTTATGGGCACTGTACGGTCAAGTACGTGGATCCGAAATTACAAGCTTTTATGGGCCTTGTAATTACAAGCTCTTACGAGTATTGAAAATAATGATGAATTATGAGACTCTTAAAGGAATATTCCTTGCCAGACCCTTTCTCTCTTGATATGGTAGCTATAATCATATATATAGTTTCCATATTTAGCAAAACATGGGAAAATGTTTTAATATGGTCAATATTAATCATTTAAAAATCTAGTGCTTATTTCCAGTGAGCTGCCATGTTTTAAGATTTCTTGCAGGAAGTGATGTCATCAACTCTCAACTTCTATAACCTTGCCCATAACAGTATAGGAAAGTAGCACAAAATCACTTCTAGACAAGTGATCATTACTTTCTGTGCAAAAATATTTTCAGGGCTTGTCAACTCAGAATAAAAGAAGGGATTTTCAGAAGGATTAAATAAGATACAAAGTTGAAAAAGAATATTTAGCTGGTTTTGTAATTCTTAATAGCTCCTCACCTAATGCTATATGCAAAGTTGAGAGTCGATGACATCACTTCCTGTGTGAAATTTTAAAAGATGGCAGCTTACTGGAATTGAGCATCACATTTCTAAGTGATCAAATTTGACCATATCAAAACATTTTGCGTGTTTTGCTAAACATGGCAAGCATATATATGGTTATACCTACCATATGAGGAGAGAGATGGTTTGGCATGGAATATTCCTTTAACGAGGCCTGTACAAGGTTGTACAAGGTTCGTATGGGCTTGTATGGGGTCCGATGTAATTTGCCTGTGTAGGCAATGTTTTCTTTACCCAATTTGTTCTTTTCAATTAAGTTAAATGGTTTAAAAATGATAGGCAAGCAAACACTTTGGTTCCTGACCTCATGTCCTCAATTTTAGTTTTTACTTTTTTGTGAATGTCACTACTTAAGGCTGACATCTCCCTAAAACACTTTCTTGAACATATATTATTTTTAAATTTCCATACAACTGACAGGATTATTAATGCTTTATTATATTCAATAATTGACGGAGTTTTGAAGTGGTTTCACTGCAAAATATCAAAGCACAACCATCAAGTAAAAAAGTAAAATAGTAAGTAGCAGACTTCGAACCCAAGCCATCCCCTAAACACACCGGAATAGCCTGACAATGGTAAAGTCAGATACTGTTGTCACAAATGGCGGACATAACTGTCGCTTCAACTGTTTAATCACTTGGTCCTCATTTCATGGGATTTTATTGAGGCTAATTCTGTGCATGTATTAAAAGCTCTTGTGATGATGTTTCATATGAAATCCCAATTTCGATCAAATTGGGTCGTGAATCGCCACAATATAGTGTCTTCGATATCGTCAATGACAACGGAATCTGAATTTGAGTAATTTAGAGAGACCAAGAGTATATGGTAATTACAGTGTCCGTTGTCCTGTATTTCATTTAGATCGGTTAAATTAAAGACTTTATTTCAATGGTAGAACATTATTAACTGTACAATGAGTATTAAGACACTTTGATTGATTGTTGTTCCAAAGGAATTCAGTTTATTTAGAATTTTGTTATGTCGGCCATTTGTGACAACGATATCTGACATTACTGTTGTCAGGCTATTCCGGGTGCTAACAAGATAGCATTGTTCCACTAGACCAGCAGTGGTTTTACATTTCACAATACAAAATTGACATATCTTACAATTTCATATGCTAAATGTTCACATGATAAGACAGTACTGTCAACCCCCAAAGATTTTCTCGCGGGACAGATTTTTTAGACCCAGTGCCAAAAATTCGCGGGATTTCGCGGGACATCCACCTAAATTCGCGGGATTTCGCGGGACATTTAAGGGATTTGCGTGATTGCGCTAATAGGTCAAATTTTGATCAAATTCGCGGGATTTCGCGGGACCATTCGAGGGACAAACACGCTAATTGCGGGACAGTTAACAGGGTTACCACCAAAGACTTCATAGAGGGACAGATTTTTTTAGACAAAGTGCCCTAAATTCGCGGGATTTTGCGAGACATACACCTAAATTTGCGGGATGTCGCAAGACATTCTTGAAAGGGATTTACGTGATTGGGGCTTAATGTAAAAGTTCTCAAATCAAACTTTCAGATACTGATTTATCAAATATAATGCACTTTACTTAAGTAAACGTCAACACAATTCCACACAATACGCATAGAAATATAATTAAACTACAAGGTGGTCAAAAATATGGAAACCCTAATACCATTTTCCTCATATCTTTGTCATTTTAAAAAATAACTCCCTGATATTTTACACTTTTGTACATCATTCAATTTGCTTCCAGCCTATTTTATTTCACGACCATCAGACTGATAGTCACAATGTTACAGTACCCTAAAGAACATGCCCAGTGGCCACTATTGGGTTGTGAGGAAACTTGACCCATCGTCTAAAATGTCCTTACCTGTGGGGATATGGCAGAGATAGAGTATATGAGAATGACCTCAGGACAATTGCAAACCTCAAAAGTGAGATAATTTGTGTCATTCAGGCCATACCTGCTGAGGAATGCATTCGGCTCATTGACAACTGTGCTGTTTTGCCCTCAGCGCGATAATGGCCAAATCAGAAGCATATTATTCTAAATGCTGTAAAATTGTGTCTATCTATGGTCATGAAATATGGCAGGGTCGTAGAAAAATAATGATGTACAAATGTGTGAAATATCAGGGAGTAATCTCTTAAAGTGACAAAGATATAAGGAAAATGCAGGGTTTCCATTTTTTGACCACCCTGTATCAAAAAACCACGCTTTAGTTGTGAGTACCGTAATCCAACACGAAATTCAAAAATTCTGAACAATACTTTGCACTTATGGTGTTCATGACCAACTATGAAACATTTACTCCCCATAGTGTTAGATATTAAAATGTACCTATTCATATCGGGGTTTGATAGATCTATATCAAATTATAGGGAGTCAGGTTTCTTTTCGAGATATCAGTGTTCATTTATTGGAACTAGCGTTTGCTAACATTTGCTCAGTTCTTAGATGAAGGCCGTGACACGCGTAGTAAAAAGGCCAACGTTGGAACTATACGTGACATACAGGGTGATCCAGAAGTAACGTCAAAGATGTTGTAATTTCAAAAGTATTCATCAGATCTTCATGAAATTTGGTATACATGTACCCACAACATTTCTGAGTTACCATCTCAAAGATTGGAATTCAATCATTTCATTGGTTGAAATTATGGTTGCTATAGTAACCCGATATCGCGTAACCCGGGGCAAATTACTTAACGTGTAATGCGTAATCTCAAAATATCAACAAGATCTGAAATTGTTATATCCTCAACATTTTATTTCACAACAATATAAATCATACTATTGCACAGTTACTAATAATAGTTCATTCTACATAATTGCCACCATTTGCAACACATTTCTCATGTCTGGATACCCATTCCTTGAACACAGAATTAAATCCATTAGAACTCATTCCTTGTAGGGCTAGTACTACGGCATTTTTCAATTCCTCACAGGATTGAAAATTATTTCCACTAAGGTTTCTTTTTAGTTCCCCATACAAATAAAAGTCACTGGGGGCAAGATCAGGTGAATAAGGGGCATGTTCAAGTTGTTGAAATCCAAGTGTTTGGACTGTGTTGCTGGTCAGGATTGCAGTGTGCGTAGGGGCATTGTCCCAATGCAAGATAAACTGCTGCAGATGTCCGGGACGCTTTTTCCTCAGGGAACGTTGAAGATCACGCTTCAGAACCTGAAAAACAAATGTTTAATGGTTGTTAAACCAGTTGTTTCATTGATTGGATTTGGATTTGAATCATGGCCATGGAGTTATAATTATATTGACAGTGAACAACATTTAAATACTTTAATTTAAAAATAAAATTCACAGTATGATGTATTATTAGAACAAATGATATCTTACCTTTGCAATGTAAACGGCATTAATTCTCTGGCCAATGGGAACAAAATGGGTTAACACCATTCCTCTAATGTCAAAGAATGTCACAACCATTTGTTTCTTTTGTGGAATTCCTGGTACTATTTTAGGCTTGGTTGGTGTTGGGGAGTTGTCATGTTTCCACGATGAACTTTGTTGCGTGGTCTCTGGGATGTAGAATGATAGCAATGATTCGTCACTCGTAATGATCTTGTTAAGAAAGTCATCTCCATCTCTCCGATATTTTGCAAGAAAGTCCCTTGAAGCCTTAACACGCCGGTCTTTCTGCTCCTGTGTCAAGTCATGCGGCACCCATTTAGCAGACACCTTCTTTAACAGACAGTTCTTTGTCAGTATCCGTTGCACAGTCCCATAGCTCAGATCGTGTTTTTCAGCCAATTCTCTGATAGAAATTTGCCTATTGTCCATAACATCAGCTTCAATTGCTTTGATGGTTTGATCATCGAATGACGACACTGGCCTGCCTCCTCGCTGCTTGTCTACCACTTCATCATATCCACTGGAATACTTGTTAAACAACCTGTAAATGTTTCTCTCAGCAATGGCAGCTTTACCATATGCCTTCTTTATCTGTCTTATAGTCTCTTTTACACCTTTCCCCAACTTTACACAGAACTTAATGTTTGTTCTTTGCTCTATTTTACTCTGACTTGGCGCCATCTTGAATTGGGTGGGTTAGTGTCCTTGGTCATGTTAGTATTTGTCATGGATGATGGAAGCAATTCAAAGAAATTGAAAGCTTTTTATGAATGCCTATTGTGACATCACAACTATTACATATTTGTTACCATGGCAACAAATATAAAAATCATAGAAAACAAACAATGAACATTTTCAAATGTTACTGACTTTTTAAATTAGAGAAATTCACAAAAACGTTATGGTTTCTCTTCAATTTGCCCCGGGTTACGCGATATCGGGTTACTATAGCAACCATAATTTCAACCAATGAAATGATTGAATTCCAATCTTTGAGATGGTAACTCAGAAATGTTGTGGGTACATGTATACCAAATTTCATGAAGATCTGATGAATACTTTTGAAATTACAATGTCTTTGACGTTACTTCTGGATCACCCTGTACATCCCTATTTTCGTAATTAAAATGAAAATTACACTCTTCCTCTTTATTTTGATAACAAATAACGGCATAATAGGTACTTGAGAAGCCAACTATATGGTGTTATTTGGATCAAAATCACAGTTTTATAAATGGACTATATGCTCCTTTTAAAAGCAGTCTTCGATGATCTGATGCAGTGGGAGTTTGGCAGCACTTTTCAAATTAGGTAAACTTTACTCCTCAAAAGCGCAAAAACTTAGCTTCTTATATCACAAGATAATTACAATTATTTAACCTCGGGGATTGTTACAATTTTGAAAATTCGCGGAGGTCAAAGCCAACATTTGCGGGACTTCGCGGGACATTGCGGGACACGCAAATTAGCCAAATTTTGATCGAATTCGCGGGATAATCCCGCCATTCGCGGGACACTTGACAGCTCTGTAAGAAATCTTTGAAATATTTTTTTTTTATCGCCGACAATCCAAGCAATCGCAAGAACAATCATCAAAATGACAAAATTGTATTAATCATGAGTATTTCTATACAGCATTTCCACCATTTATTCATTATTGTATATTAGTGCCTTAACGATAGAACGACAGTCGGCTGGTGACGGTAGAATTAAAATCTTTTGACAGTTAAAATCAGCTGTCGTTGTTGTGGACCAAAGGACGATTCTCGGTTTGGAGAACAGTCTCCTAGGCTAAACATTTTTTCATGAAAAATATAGAAATATTACCTAAATTAAACTATGAATATTCGAAAGAGGACATTTAAATCTACAAGATGTAAAAATAACAAATTGGTCTGAAGCAGGGATAACGCTCAATTAGACCGATTCAATAAAATATAAGTCTCGAATTGGGGAAAGAAGTTCATCAGTGTACTGCGCTAATATTTTTGGCGAAAAATCTAGAAATATTACCCAAATTAAATTATGACTATTCAAAAGAGGACATTCAAATCTATATAATGTAAAAAAAAATCAAATTTGTCCGAAGCAGGGATAATGCTCATTTAGATTGATGAACTTCGTTCTCCAAACCGAGAATCGTCCTTCCCAGGGAAATGAAACACATTTAAAACAGTGTCACTTACTTAAGTTTCTGTAAAGTTTCATGCACGGCTTTTAGCAATCAAAGATTCCTACTTATTATTGTCTTGTTTGTCGTTCTATATCTATCCTGGGGTGGTGTTTCTTTTCTCCAATACGGGAAAACATTTTGAATAAAGAATTTTCCGCCATCGAATAAGTAGGGCAATCTGCAGCAGTTTCGTTTTTGCTTCAATTCTTCGCGCATGCCTAATATTTTGAAATAATTTACAAGTGCGCATGTGTGTATGGAATTTAAGCCAATCAAATTATTCATTTCAATGCGCATGAACTAAATTCTGAACCAAGAGGAACTGGCGCAGATTGCCTCAAATGCTGAAATCGCTCTTCAAAAGCTCTTCAAAATAGATTGGTGAATAAAAATGAATAACAACTGAAGTTAGAGTGGTTTATTTAGTTCGATGTCAGGATATTTCAAGTAGGTATTGATTATATAGACGCTACAATGATGGTGTTTTGTTTTAACTCATTTTTGCCTCAAACGAAATCATAGATTGAACACAATTTTACTTCCGGTCTTAGCCACGACAGTTTGCTATCGGCAACAGAAATAACACTGTTGTTATCGACAATGGAATCTCACTGTCGTTCAGGCACTATTGTAATTGTATATTCACTCATTATACTTCAAAATATCCTTCACTAGGTTCCATGGAACAACCAAGAATTGCTTTCTAACTGCATGTGCAGGTTTAACAGCATTCCTCAGATCTTTAATCTGATCTGTAATCTAATATATTCTTTATTAATGTTTTACTTGTAGCCCCTCGAGTTAGAGGGCCACAGCAAAGTCATCACATCCATGTGTTTAGTATGTATGACATCGCAGAAGTCAACTTTATTGTGCTCAGCCGCAGAGGATTACATCATTATCTGGGACATTGAAAAATGCAGAACTGCATATCAAAATGGTACTATAGATTTTGGCATATTATTTGTACAATGTTGAATACCAAAAAACCTTACTCACCTAAAAATGAATATCTCTTTAACCAATACAGTTTGATAAAAGAAAGTTTGCACAATTAAAGTTCGCTTAATGTTCTATAAAGTGGCAAAGTGTAATTATATTGTTGTGCTTAGAACATTTTGGAGAGCTTTACAAACAAGGAATGGTGTTGATAGGCCATCCCAGTAGTTTTAACAAGATGGAGTGACACCACAAATATCCGACATCACAGATTTAATTTGAAGATCATCAGTCGTAGAGTAGATAACAATTGGGCACCCCACTCCCCACTCCCCAGACCTTAACCCTCCAGATTTTTATCTGCGGGGGTTCCTTAAGGATAATGTATTGTAAATGCTAACAAAATTAACCCTCAAACTATCTCAGAGCTGAAACAAAAGAAAACATGAATGCAAGTGTTGCCAATAACTTGATGTGGTGGCCATATTGGTGAAACTATGTCAAGTTGGAGAACCTTGAAGTAACTTTAATTGTGCAAACTTTCTTTTATCAAAATCTATTAGTTGGTTCTTGGTATTCACCTTTCCACAAAGTCAGCTCATGAATATTATAATGAGCTGCTTAAAAATCTGTGACGTCAATGAGAGAAACCTTTTCCCGCGAAAAACAAATGCAATTGAGTTGACATGTAAATCTTCGGTTGATTGCTGTAAGTTTTACCTCTTCAAATGTGCAAGTAATCAGTAAATTATTGACGGATTTTTATTGAACGTCAAATTGACATTAATTTAAGCCTTCTAAGCGATTTAAATAATAAATTTCTGTTCATAATTAGTAAATAATTTGAAGAGAATTACTCCCGGTTAGTTTTCAATCATGATAGGAACTGGATGTGAACAGGTGAAATTATCATAATCATTAGTTCACCAACATTATAATATGTCTCCCATGCACGAAAATATATAGATAGACAATCTATTTTAAGTTAATCTTCAGTGTCATTTGATGAATGACCTGTTCAAATTAAAAACATTTGCTCTTGTTCATAAAATCATTGACTTCACTACTTCCAAAATAGATCCAGCAGACCGTAGAATTTTTCTTAACCAAAATGATGATGGATTTCTCGAAAATAATGAGTATGAGAACGCTTAATAGAAAACAAACATGGATATGGGTGTCCTTGGATAAATTCATGGATTCATGGATTGGATAAATTAGTTATGTGATGATCGGTTTTGAATAATGATCACTGGGAAGATTTCAGAGAAAGAGCGTATATCATATAATGTTTATTGATGATATGTTGACATTGCTGATCATTATTGACATCGCTGATGGCGAATAAATACCAAAAGGTAACGCTTTGCGCGAATGTCACTCATGGTGAATTTCTGATGGAACTTCTCACTTAAGTAGCGGTCACACTAGCCGTGTAGGCTCACCGTTCGCCACCGTGTGGCTTATTATGGCCAGACGGCGGTGCACGGTATGGCCACACGGTGGGTCGTTTCCCGCCCGTTGAGAAACGTTCAGGGAACGTTGCCGTCCATCCACACCCGGCGAATTTTTTGAGCATGCTCAAAACTTTTCCCGTTTGAGTAACGTTCGGTTGCGAACGATGATAGCGGTACGGGAATGGTATAAGGACGTTGCGGCCGTTAAGGACACGTTCGCAGAGCGGTAATGGGACGATGGTGGACGTTGACTCTATCAGTGACGGGCTGCGAACGAGAGTGTACCGCTTGGGTACCGTCCGATAAAGAGGTTCAAACGGGGGTTTGAAAGGTCACATAAAAAGGGTTTTCACTGTACCAGCCGCATAACGCTTAGGTAACAGTCCATTAACGTGTTAACGGCCTTATAACTGCTCCATAACATCCTCTAAACATCCTATTACCGTGAACTCGCAATTGTACCGCCTCGTGACGCAGTGTTGTCACCGTGTTCTGCCGTTTCAACAATTTTGCCTCCAGTTTATTTAAATATTCAGGTATTGTCCAAGGTTTTGTCCCGTAACTCGAGACATCAATTCTTCGACTTTCTCATTTGTACTTTGAAGCCACAAATCCACTCAAACCACTTTGACAGAGATTCTTTTGAAGACACTGAGAAAAACAAGTTACAAATATATTTCTTTTATCATACACGAAGAAAATAAATAAATTGCAAAAATGATTAAAGCTCAAATAAAAGTGAAAATAAATGTCCAGTTAGCATTATAAGCCAAACTTCGAACTATCAACTGTTTTATGCATTTTACGTGATCTTTCTGTTCACGTTACCGTCCATCAAAAAGTTGTGAAAGCTTTATTTCTCATTTACACGACCAATTATATAAGAAAAAATTAATAGGGTGGAGGAAGAGCCGATTTCTGTCAGAAAATTCAATAAAACTGCAATATTTATGTTCATAACAACTTAACGTTCACCCATTAATCCCTTAATGATTAAGCTATGGTATAACAAAGATGTGAACCGTGAATTTTCGAGTGATACCCTTCTGAGTTATTCGATTAATTTAAAAAGGCGCGACGTCACCAGCGTGCAAAAAGTCAATATTTTTTGGTATATAACTCAAACGACGCAGGTCTAAGACCTGTAATATATACACAAAATATATGTATAGTTGCCGTTTTACAAAACGTTATAAAAATAATATAAAACACCGCCGTCTTTTTTCGAAATCAAATAAGATTTGGCATATTTTTATAAGTGATTCAATAAACTGACTTCAATTCCAATTCGAGTACAGTTCACTTCGAATCCCTCCATTTTAATGAGGAAAAATATTTCTAAACGTTGGAGGGGAGTAAAGGTTCAATCTGTACCTTCCAATAACGCTTTGCGTAAAATGTAATGTCAAAACAAATAGTTACCCCTCAGAGCAATTAGTTTCAAAACGTATAGTAAAAACGTAAAACGTGATATGGTCGGATGAAATATAGATATTGCATGTTTGTCTACCAAAATTGGTCAAGTTCTCGAGACCTATTCATTTTCAACGTATTTTCATGGAATAAACATACTAACTATTACAGAGAAAGACTTAACTCGGTTGACCCAACTAGCTGCTTACAGGATGGACAAGCTATGTGGCCACACTGTACAGTTAAATATAGACAAACTTGTAATGTTATTGAACATAATTAAGATGTATAAGCAAATTAATTATATAAATCATTTAGCTTTGAACACGTGGATGGTTGAGCATACATACCAAAAAGTGAGTTAAATATTGTGAGCGTTTGCATGACGCCATCAAGGCGGTTCGGTCGATATCCAGGCGTTCCGGCCGGTGAAAACCTGGTGAGGGGATGGTATGCGCCAGTTGAGAACACGGCGAGAACGGTAAGCAAGAATTCTGAAACACAGTAATTCCGGTACAAGGCCGATGAGAAGCCGGTACAGACCCGGAATAGAACGGTATAGTCCCGGTCAAAAATGTATAAAAACAATGCGGCCGTCGCCGTCTGGCCATAATTAGCCAAACGGTGGCGAACGGTGAGCCTACACGGCTAGTGTGACCGCTACTTTAGACATAATAACCATTTAACAGGATAGTGTATGACCACTATCAGATAATTTAACTGAGCTGTTTGTAACTTCACAATTTACATTTTTTGTTTACAATCGCACGACACATGTGAACCCGGGTATGTGAGGCTGATCTGAGAAGTCTTAAAAGCAATAGTTCTGTCAAAAAATTAAATCCAATTACATAAGATTCGGAATGAAAGTGCCCCGTCCATATTTCATATTTGATTAAAAATAATTAGTGCGTTGGGCAAATAGAATCCTTTTTATTGCAGTGAATTCAAAATATTCCTATGCTGGCTGTACTAATTCTTCAAAACTTTCCATCATTGACATCATTGATTTGACTCATTTGCATACAACCAATCAGCGCGCCGGAAATTATCGATTTTCTTTACTTTGTGGAAAGGTGAATACCCTGTATAAATGCAATACATTTATACATTGAATAGGATTTTAAACACTGTCACACAAATTGCATTGTAAAAATAACATTCAATTACTTAATTTATGCATTAGTTCAGTCAGTTAGCACTTTAATTGCACTTGCTATATATACGTCACCATTTTTTGACCAAAGTATCATTAATACATATATTTTTGATATCTACCGAAGTGGTGTTAAAAAGTAGCCCCAGTGGATAATAACAGGGCTCGAAAATTTTGCATGTTTCCATTGAGTTCAATGTTATTTATTGTCTTGCAGCATTTACAGTTGTTTCATTTTTTGTTGATTTTTTTTTGAATATGATCTATATTCATTTTTAGTATGTTATTTTCAGTGTTTAAAAACAATTTTCAAGATTGCATCAGTATTTCTCATTGATATTCATTGTTAAAGCCTGTCCAAGGGCGACGCCCACTTTATCAACATGTTAAATATACAAGTTAATGAGTCTTCTATTATGAATAGGATTATTACCTAATATGGCTGAATAAATCTGACAAGATTACTTATGTTAAGATAATAGATGCTGTAAGTAAGTCAATTTCACTGTTAAAGGCTTGTTAAAGGCCACACCCCTTTTAGATATAAAGATATAATAATATATAATTCACAATTAATGATACATAATTTTTAATGAGAGCACTTTGACTAATTGATACAAGTTACCTCATTAAGTATCTTAACTGCAGTTCAAATATCCTATTTTGTGCATTTAAGCACTTCAACACTCTATTATCATTATCACTCACTTAGGTGCCATGTCCATTACAATCCCTGTCACACAAATACAGGGCAATACATGCATAATATTGGCTTTAAAGCACTTGCATCTTTTTGTTGAGCACTATTGTTTGCAGCTACATTTTACTAGCATTTGGCATGCATCTGAAGCTTGGGGCAATGTTTTCCATACTGGCACATAAATCATTTTTCCAGCCTTTGTGGTAATGGATTCCCAACTCAATTTTGAGAGTGAAGCGAGGACTGACATAGGTATAATTGTCTGGACCGAACTT